TCTTCTTCTTCTTCTTCTTCTTCTTCTTCTTCTTCTTCTTCTTCTTCCTCCTCCTCCTCCTCCTCCTCCTCCTCCTCCTGCTTCTTCTTCTTCTTCTGCTTCTTCTTCTTCTTCTGCTTCTTCTTCTTACTGTCCTGCATTTTCATGTAGCCAGTGTGGGTTTAGATGATTAAATTCTTTGTTTGGGGGTTTAAGCAGAACTAATGATTATTCCAGGTGCAGCATGTATTTGTTAAACTGCTCACATGATCAGCCTTTTCCCTGTCTCTCTTTGCGCTCTTGACCACATACCCTGAGTTCTGCCCATAAACATAGCTATCAGCTCTCACTCTGCAAAACTTGTTCAACAGTGAAAGTCTTTTGACTGTCTGTCCTCAGCGCCTTAGGCCCTCGTGTTTCTTACAGCAGTCTTAATCAAGATGGGTGGTGGTGGCCCATGCTGCAAGATAGTCCAGGGGGTCGGTGGGTCAACAGGAAAACAGTTAAGACCCCCACTCTGGAGTCCTCAGTGGAAATGGGAAGTTTTAGCACCCTGAGGTTTCATACTCCATGCCTTAAACTTAAGGGGGAAAGGGAAGTTTATACATAAAACATGAGGTATTTTACTCAGGCTGGGGAGAATACATTTGAATAATATTTGTCACAAATCACAAGGGCAGCAAATATGGTCCAATAAAGAAAATTTTGGAGGAGGATTTTGTTTAACTCCCTCTGAGACATTGTGTGTGTTTCCCTCAGCCTTTTAAAACTAAACGATGCGTGGTTGTTTCTTTATAGTCATGATATTTTTTTTTAACCTCCTGTAGTTAAGCACTGGGAATTTATTTAAAATACTAAGGCAGATACTTCTTTGGTTACACACTTATTTCCTTCTAAAGAAATGTTATTTTGTTATTTTATGAGGACAACATGGCTTCTCTTCCGTTTAAAAAGTGATACTAGAAAAATAAGCAGAGAGAGGCCCATCCAGTAACTATCACCCAGGATGGCTGTTATTAATATTTTCAAAAATCTCTCTAGGCATTTATATACTTCTGTGGGAAGAGAATAAGAGGAATTAAAATAATCTGGTGGTGTTGGTGGGGGAGAGGCTGGAGAGACAGCAATTAAGAGCACTGGCTGCTCTTCCAAAGGACCAAGGTTCAATTCCCAGCACCTAATAGCAGCTCATGACTGTCTGCAAGTCCAGTTCTAGGGGATCCAATGCCCTCATCTGGCCTCACCAAACATGTGTAAAGACATACATGTAGGAAAAACAGCCATACATATAAAATAGTTTTTTTCAATTAAACAAGAATTTAAAAAATCTAGAGTAAGATATGAGGCATATTCAGCATGTAATTTAGTCAAATTTAATGGATTAACCAGAGAATAAAAACTGAAGTAAAACTAGATGGAGAGCTTGATATTACAAATCTTCTCTTTAAATTTCTTTATTATATGTTATTATTTATTGGGTACTTGGCTGTGGGGGGCGCACATGTAGAAGTCAATTGTTTTTTGCTTTAATATTTTTGTTTTTGTGTTTTTTTTTTTTTTTTGAGGAGGGTTTCTCTGTATAGCCTTAGCTGTGCTGACTCACTTTTGTAGACCAGGCTGGCCTCAAACTCACAAAGATTCTCCTGCCTCTGCTTCCCTGAGTGCTGAGATTACAGGCGTGCACCACCATGCCCAGCTGCTTTAATTTTTTTTTAATTATCAGTTTTATTTTATGAATGGATCTTTTGCCTGCATGTATGTCTTGACGCATGGGTCTTTTGCCTGGGTGTATGTCTATGTACCACATTCATGCCTGGTGCCTGCAGAGGCCAGAAGAGGGCCTTGTGTCCCCTGAAACTTAGAGTTACAGATGTTGTGAGCTGCAAGGTAGGTGCTGCGAATCAAGCCTGGGTCCTCTGGAAGAGCAGCCACTGTTCATTAGAGATGAACCACTAATTCATCTCTCCAGCCTCTGAGTTTTACTTTTAACATAACAAAAAAGTGAGCATGTTTAAAGAAAATGTAAATAACAGCGTATGTATAATTCATCCATGTGGCAAAAACTGTGAGTGGTATGTGGATGACATGCAAATGATTCAGTTCCGTGACCATAAGAATGTGGGAACCAGAAATATACAGACACAGAAAAATAACACAGGCGTGCAACAGCGGAAGCTGCCAAAGGAAAGTGCGGAATGCTGAAACCTGCTTAAACCCTGAGGCCAGTGAGTAAAAGTAATCATATTAAAATCTAGTGTCTAACCTGGCACTGGGTTTCATTGTCGCCATGTTCCTGTCTCATGGGCAAAAAGGAATGAAGACCACCACGATAAGAACTTTTACTCTGCTTCTTCTTATAAGTCTAAATTGGTCTGGGTTCTCACCTTCACCACATACAAAGGGCAGGTAATTTAATTTACAAGAGAGTGCTGGAAATGTTGAAAAAAAAAAAAATCCTCAGCATCCCGCACTGAGCTGACCTCTCCATAATTGGTGTGCTTGAAACCCAGTGGCCTCACAAACAGTTTTGACCTAAGATATCCAATGTGGAGACCCCTACAGGGGGAACTTTTTCCTTATTTTTTCTGACTTAATAACAACCCTCTTCCTCTTTGGCACAGACGGTGGGCCGAGAACTGCTGCTCCACCTCATCGACTATCTGGTAACCAGTCATGGGAAAGACGCTGAAATCACATATCTGATCAACAGCACCCGGATCCACATCATGCCTTCCATGAACCCGGATGGATTTGAAGCCGTCCAGAAGCCCGACTGTTATTACAGTAATGGAAGGTAAAGATGGGCTGGTCTCCCCTCGGGCGCCCATTGGCCTCCGCAAGAGGACTTGCCTCACAGTGGAGCACCCCAGAGCCTGTTCCTGTCACAGGTGCACCAAGGCTCTTCAGGCCGCCATCTTGTAGGATGAAACATGGCACCTTTCTAGTCCCTCTGCCTTTACTGACCGCTTCTCACTCTCCCCCTCACTCAGCCCCTCTGATCTTTCTCCTGGAACTCTCGGGTGCTTTCTCAGCTTAGGTACTGTGTACATCCGTTTCGACTCTTCATCTTCATCAATTGCCCAAAGAGCATTCCTACAAAAACTCCCTCCTGACCAAGTATTCAGTCCTTTGTATGCTTTCAGATCAGAGCCTCTGGTACTGTACATTCATGGCACACTTTTTTTTTTTCAAAGCTACTGTGTAGCCCTGGCTGTCCTGGACTCACTTTGTAGACCAGGCTGGCCTCAAACTCACAGAGATCCTCCTGCCTCTGGCTCCCGAGTGCTGGGATTAAAGGTGTGCGCCACCACCACCGAGCCATGTCACAGTTTTTAATCTTTATGTTTGTTTATCATTTGTGGACATGGACTAGGTTATGCCACAGTTGGCTATGTAGAGGTCAGAGAATAACTTGCAGAAGTTGATTCTCTCCTTTCCCCATGTGGTTGGGTCCTGGGGATCAAATTTAGGCTACCACATTGGCATCAAGGCACCTTTACCTGCTAAAGCCATCTCACGGACCCCTAATGTCTAGTTTCTTACTTAATGTCTTTCTCTCCACTGAAATGCAAGCTACTGAGGGCAGTGTGTCATTTTGTGTTTATCATTGTTAGTGCCAGGTCGCCTGGCACAGTGATTCCCAGCCTTCCCAACACTGCCACCCTCTACTACAGTTCCTTATGTTGGGGTGACCCCCCAACCACAAAATTATTTTCATTGCTACTACATAACTCTAATTTTGCTACTGTTATGAATCATAATGTAAATATCTGATATCCAGGACATCTGATATGCAACCCCTATGCAAGGTCATTCAACCCCCTCTCCCCACCAAAGGGGTAGAGACCCAGAGGTCGACAACCACTGGTTTACCACACCACACTGACTCTCCAAAATTACCCAAAATTGGTTTATTAATCCAACAGCCTGAGTAGCATGGGTCTTACAATGTGCTCTAAATGGTATATTTTGTTTCAGACTGCTTTGGGGAGTGTAGCATCTCTCTAGTGCTTAACACACACATATATTTACACAGTTTATAAAGTTGTTGAGTTTGCCAAAAATAAAAAGGTGAAATCTCACCGCTGGGTTCCCTTCATCTTTAACTGTTCTACATAATTAGGCACAGACACGCCAGCTTTCTGAAGCATGTTTGTGTAAACTGTTTCTGACCTTGGGTGCTGTATAAGGGGCCACTGCCAAAGCATGGTGACTGAGCCTTTCTGTTAAGTGTTGGTTCTGTAAGTCCCAGGTTTGAGAAGGACACAGCAGGACGGACGTCTGTCTCTGCTTCATCTTGGGCCTCCATGCAGGTCTGAGACAGCTAGCCTGGGGCCATGTGTCTGGTGTCTCACTCTGGCTGTCACCTGGGTTCCTCATTGTTCTCCATAGCCCACATGTGGCTACCAGCGGTGCCTCGGTGTCTAAAAGGCTGTGTTCCAAGAACAAAAAGTCCCAGAATGCAAACAGTTGTCAGAACTTTGCTCATGTCCCAGTAGCTAATGTCCCCTCGGGAAAGCGAATCACACAGCAGGGGACAGGGACTTCAGGTATGATTCACGAGAGGGCTCCAAAGCAATTATCCACTGCGCTTGGCTTCACATCTGGGAAACACCTGGAACCTACGCCTCAGGTCTGTGCACAGCAAGACCACTCCCCTCACCCACACACCCCAGTAAAGCCTACAAAATCCTTTCTTTTAAAGGGAAAACTACAACAATTACGACCTGAACAGGAACTTCCCTGATGCCTTTGAAAATAATAACGTATCCAAGCAGCCTGAGACTTTGGCAGTCATGAAGTGGCTGAAGACAGAGACATTTGTCCTCTCCGCGAACCTCCACGGGGGTGCCCTGGTGGCCAGTTACCCCTTTGATAATGGCGTGCAAGGTAAGTGGTGTGGCTCCGCCCTGGCAGACGAGAGGAGAGCTGCCATCACTCCACCTCTGAAGCAGGGTGAACTCCGAAGCCCGCAATTAACTTCTCTGACTGGACAAGAAAGAGCCTCACTTTTCCCAACCCTGAACGATATTTCCTGTAATTGGTGTTTTTTTGTTTGTTTGGCTGACCTTTTCACAGAGGTCCCCTAAGACCATCGGGAAACACAGATACCTACATTATGAATCATAACAGTAGCAAAAGTACAGTTATGAAGTGGTGGCGAAAAATAACTTTACAGTGGGGGTACAACATGAGGAAATGTATTAAAAGGCTGCAGCCTTAGGGAGGCTGAGGACCACGGCTCTAGATTCTGTAGGATGTGATGGGATAAGGGCCAGGCATGGTGGGATTAAAGTCCCAGCACTTGGGAGGCAGAGACAAGTGAATCTCCATGAGTTCGAGGCCAGCCTGTGTACATAGTGAGTTCCAGGACTGCCATGGCTACCTAGAGAAAGTCTGTCTCAAGAAACAGAGAGCTGGAGGTATGACAGTGGCTTACACGAGCCCCTAGCAGCACCTAAGGAAGGTTGCCAAACTTCAGCGACTGCCTGGCACGGGGAAGGGGGTCACTGCATTTTTAGACTGATTGTTTTGTGAGCTGACATCCTTGACCATTAAAGAGTAGGAAGAAGAGAGAGGCGGTGTTCACACCAGCGGGTAGTGAGACCGTCTTCGTGCGCCATGATTGTGTCAGCTGACGTGTGTTGCACGGGTCCCTCTGTCTTTCTAACACAGCCACGGGGACACTGTTGTCTCGAAGCTTGACTCCAGATGATGACGTCTTTCAGCACCTTGCCTATACCTATGCGTCTCGGAATCCCAACATGACGAAAGGAGATCAGTGTAAAAACAAAAGGAACTTCCCCGACGGCATAATCAATGGCTATTCCTGGTACCCACTGCAGGGTGAGTTCCTCATCCTTGTATTCTCCTGTTGCCTTGCCCTGAAAGCACCAGCTTGTGTCACAAGATCTTTACAGCACAAGGCAGGCCCTCAGACTCTATCCCATCATATCAGAGCAGCAGTGGAGGTGGGAGATAGTTTGGAAGATGCAGATATATGGTCCTCACTGCCCACGTTCTCCTTTCATTCCCTCAGACATTTATTGGTTTACTCTGTGGGTGCTTCCCGCATCCAGGCACGGTGCCAAGAAAGACGAAAGGCATGGGCCTCGTTCTCAAAAGGGACGAAAGTAAGGATTTAGGTTACAGTGCCTTCAGAGTAGGAAGAGAATAAGGAAGTGAATGCGGAGGGGTCCATAGCCGTGGTGGCAGGGGGCAATGCAGATCTGGAGGAAGGTGGCGCTTACGTCCCCCTTACAAGGACAGCTGCCGCTCAGATCCCACTAGCTATGGACCGCGCAGCAGCAGAGACCAATGGGCAGTCTCCTTCCAACTTACAAAAGAAGTTGGATATGGTGAAGAAATGCTCCTCAGGCAGGACCAGGGGAAGGGGTTCTGATTTCCCACCCTTGAAGAGGATGGTCAGGCAGAGGAGGAGGATGGCCAGGCAGAGGAGGGGGAACAGTGAAGAGAGTTTTCTCCGTTTGTCTTGTTAGCAGTACTGGGGGTTGAATCTAGGCCCTTGCACATGCTAGGCAAGTGCCCTGTCATTGAATTATCCCCCCTGCCCTCTTCTACAATTATTTTTACATTTTTATATTAATTGCAGTTTATTCACTTTGTATCCCAGCTGTAGCCCCCGCCCTCATTCTCCCCCAATCCCACCCTCCCTCCCTCCTCTCCTCCCTTCCCCTTTCCAAGTCCACTGATAGGAGACATCCTCCTCCCCCTCCATCTGACCCTAGCTTATCAGGTCTCATCAGGACTGGCTGCATTGTCCGCCTCTGTGGCCTGGCAAGGCTGCTCCCCACTCAGGGGGAGGTGATCAAAGAACCTGCCACTGAGTTCATGTCAGAGACAGTCCCTGTTCCCATTACTAGGGAACCCACTTAAAGACTGAGCTGCCATGGGCTACGTCTGAGCAGGGGTTCTAGGTTATATTCATGGTTGGAGTATCAGTCTCAGAAAAGATCCATGTGCCCAGATTTTTTGATCCTGTTGCTCTCCTTGTAGAGCTCCTGTCCTCTCCAGGTCTTACTATCTCTTCCTTTTTTCATAAGGTTCCCTTCACTCTGCCCAAAAGTTGGTTATGAATCTCAGCATATGCTTTGATACACTGCTGGGTAGAGTCTTTCAGAGGCCCTCTGGGGTAGGCTCCTGTCCTGTTTCCCGTTTTCTCATTTTGAAACAGGGGCTTACTAAACTGCCCCCAGACTGGCTTTGAACTTTCAACTCTCAAGTAGCTGGGATTACAGACCTACACCATAAAACTTAGCTCACTTGTAATGGAATGAGGGATGTCAACAGAAGCCCAGGGTTGTATAGAAACTGGGACTAGTCTGGAAAAACATGAAAAACATGAGGAGAGACTTAGGGAGAGAGGGTAAAAGGAGTGACCTAGGGGTGCACAGCCTTCCCTCCCAGACTAGTCAGCCTGCCCACCAACAGCAAGCTGCAGCCTGCATTTCTGCACACAGGCGCCTTCTCCAGCTGTCACTCTGGGTGCATGGGCTGTCTAGTAATCTAGCACAAACTGGTACTTTTGTGTCTGGATGGCTCACTGCCAATTTTCCGGATGAAGTAAATAAGCATAGACCGCAATTGGTGGTGTTCAGGCAGTGAGCCCAGCTAGACATGGAGGCACCGAAAACTCTGCTCCGCCGCCCAGGGTCTGTTCCCACTCACCTCAGGTCTCCAGCACAGTCCTGCTCCTCCATCTCCATCTCCACAAAGGACCTTCTGTTCTGTGGCACAACTGTCCTTCATGGTCGCTGTAACTGCCAGGACAGAAATCCAGATGGGTGGAAATTTCCAAAGTTGTTATAGGTTATTTGCAAGTGTGTGTGTGTAAATGGATTCAGAGAGGAACACAAATTTGTAAGATTAAAAAAAAAAGGAAATGGAAAGGACAGAGAAAAATCTTTGTCGCTAGTATCTGGGTCTATATAGATTACTTACCATTTATCTATTCATTTTATGTGTATGAGTGTTTTGCCTGTGTGTAACCACGTGTGTGCTGTGCCACCGAGGCCAGTAGAGAGCGTTACAGAGGGTTGCGGGCTGCCGTGTGGGTGCTGGGAACTAAGCCCGGCCCTCTGTAAGTGGGCGGCCCTCTTACAGCCGGAGCCGTCACCCCACCCCTTGACCCTTCTGTTGAACTTAACCTTCTCCAGCACCTGGTGGAACTGAGAACACATATATCCTCTTGGGCAGATACTGTAATAGTTTCCGTCGTCATCGTGCAGACCAAATACCTGGCAGAAACAGCTTAGAGGAAGAAGGATTTCATTTATCTGACACTTGCATGATAGGTTGAGGCAGGGGTGGGCCCTTGGCACATCAGGAAACAGAGGCCACTGGCCAGACCTGGGACAGATTCTATCCTCTAGCCCTGCCACTGGGGTCCTGCCTCTGCCAGGGGCAGCTGCGGACCACATGCTTAAACACATGAGCCTGTGGGAGGAGATTTCACATTCAAACCCTACCAGGTATCAGGTGTAGCAAGGTAAAACTGCTTCCCTCAGAGCTGCCACAGGGCTGATGGTGTGGCTCCGTGCTGGACCACTTCACTAGTATGATGAAACTCTGGTTTAACCTCAGCACAATACAAGAAAAAGAAAAAAAAAAAAATTCTGAAGACTGCATTTCATCAAATCTAAGATGTCATTCTATAAAATATAACATACCACCAGGAAAGAAAATTCTAGAATCTTCTCAGTTAAATGCATGTTTTTCAGGCATAAAAATTTAAGACACACAAATCTAGAGCTGTCACATATGGAATTTCATGCTTTACAAAACCACACAGTAATTATAACCTTTTGAAATTAGGGTCTCCTAATGTCAAAGAAAGGACATATAAGCAGTGACAGCTGGAAGCCACGTGGACCCGCGTCTGAGCCTTTCTAGAATTAGCAGCGTCCTTTCTTTGAGTCTCAGAAACATTTTGGCAGAACGAAGGCCAAAGCCGCAGAGCTCCGGCAAGATGGCTGCACGCTGGGCTCTGCCACCCCCAGGCAAGAGTCCTGGACCCGTGTGCCTGAATACCTATGACTGCTGCCCTGCAGAAGGAGATAACTGCTGTCAGGATCCGATGAGGTGGAATAAAGGTCTCTGGAAAGAACTTAGAAACCCTGAACATTCAGTCAATATTAGGCATTATTAGTCCTTTAAACTAGTGTTCCTGGTTTTGGTTAATTAATTTTTAGTTTTACAGAAATACTGTTTAAAGATCTGTTTTTGTCCTTTTATGTATACGTGTTCGTGTGAGTGCATGCCACATGGGTGCAGGTGTCTGAGGTGGCCAAGAGGAGGGTCAGATCCCTGGGAGCAGGACTTCTAGGTGGTTTTGAGCCACTTGATGAAGTGCTGGGACCTGAACTCAGGTTTTCTGGGAAAGCGCCAAGTACTCCTAAATGCTATGCCATCTCTCCAGCCCCACAGAAATACTGTTTTAAATAATTTTATTCTGCTGACTTGTGCAGCCCATTTATCCAACCACCCTTTTGCAGTATAGCCAATAAACTATTTTTTCTTTTTGTAATATTTCTAATTTAAAATGTTTTTGAGGACATGGGTACAGTATTTACATTGCCTCCTGTCTTCCATCTCCCAAATAAACCAGTCTAAAAAAAAAAAAAAAAAAAAAAAAAACTGGGTGTGGTGACACACAGCTTTAATTTCAGCTCTCAGGAGACAGAGGCAGGTGGATCTCTATGAGGTAAAGGCCAAGTCTGGTCTACAGAAGAGAAAGAAGGAAAGAAAGAAAGAGAAAGAGAAAAACTCTTATTCTAGTTTGTATCCATATAAAATGTAACGTTTGCTACCAGCCAAATCCACTACTACTTTCCACTTAAAATGCAATTTAAGGAGAAAAAAAATGTTTAAAATGTAGGATTTCAAAAACTAAAAGGGGATTTTTTTCCCCCCACCTCTTACTTAATTTTGGTGCACGATTGAACTTCAGTCAACTCCAACCCAGTTCCTCATGAGATTCTCTGCATCTGTCTGGTCACGTGGTGCTAGGAGAAGCTCTGGAGTGGCGTGTTAATGCAGCCAAAGCCTCTTTTCCCGTTTCTCAGTGCTTTCTCTCAACTGTCTCATTCACACGTTTTTCTAGGCATGTGATACCTGGCTCCCCTCCAGCATTAGCCCTTAACAAAACTGAGATGTGCTTGCTTTTCAGGTGGAATGCAAGATTACAACTACATCTGGGCCCAGTGTTTTGAGATCACGCTGGAACTGTCATGCTGCAAATATCCTCGGGAGGAGAAGCTGCCTCTCTTCTGGAATGATAACAGGGCCTCTTTGATCGAGTACATAAAACAGGTGCACCTAGGTTTGTGTCTTAGTACTTCTTGTTAACACACACAGCGTGGGTAGAACCTTTGGGGGAGCATTTACAGAACCCCTCGGGGGCTCGTGACACAGTACCAGGACTAAGAGTCTGAATTCTCTACACATCATCCACGGTGTGTGAGAGATGCTGTGCCCACCACTTCATAAGACAGGATCGCTCAGGTTCGCTTGATTTGAGGGTGCAAAGACCCAGAGTACCTCTAGTTTGACGCATTGAGTGACGTGGAAATCTGGCTGGAGATCAGGGAAACAGGATGGTACTCTTGCGACATCTACAACTAGAAGTCTAGTTTGCGCCCCCTAGACAGCTCAGCAGGTGCAGGTGCCTCCACCAAGGTGGGGAGGGGAGTTCACCCTGGGAGCCCACAGAGTGGAAGGAGAGAACGGCCTCCTGCAAGCTGTCCTCTGTCCTCCACACTCTCATTACAGCACACGAGTGCCTCCCGCAACAGCAAGTAAATAAATAGATGTAAAAATTTGAAAATAAAAACCAGATCTTACCAGCATCTTCATAACAGTACACAGTTATTACCGGCCCTTCCCCCTCCCTCTTATGTAATCACTCTGCTTCCGCTGGCCTTTCCCCACGAGTCCCGTAATGATTTAACCTTTTCCTCATAGTTCCCCCAATAGTGTGTTACTCTGGATTCTGTGACGCTCACCCATCCTTGGTGTATCATCGGGGAAGTGTGACATGAATGAAGTCTCTGCCCCTCACTGCTCTCTTTATGGACCTCAGGGCGGCAGGCTTTGCCTGTCATGTGTACCAGGGCGTTAGTGTGAAAGTTCAGTGCGTCCCAATAAATAACATACATGTTGTAGCATAAGCATTAAACATTAGCATAAGCATTAGCGCAGAGAACATACAAGTCCGTTTAATTGGGTTGTATCAAGAATATTTTCTATCTGCCTGTCCCTGTAATCCGATGTGAACGCACGTACATCTGTTTATGAGCGCGTGAACACTGCCCCCTTGTGGTTTAAGAGGCTTTCGCCTCTGCTGCTATAGTAACTGAACCTTTGGGTCCACTGGTCTTCTTTCAGTGTTTCAATTTCAGCACCCTGAATAAAATAGTAGGAACAAATATAAATGGGACTTTGAGTAAAAAGGCAAAAAAAAGGAAAAACTAAGTTTGCAGAGTTGACCTCCATAGATACCATGGAAAGGAAAAGTGGCCTTTGATAACCCATTCCCAGGTGAATGAGCCAGGAACTGAACAGGAAAGGCATCAGGAGGCCATCTGGCTCAGAGGTTTGCTTAATAGTTGAGGTAAAGACTTTTTTGCTAATGTCAAAACCTTCATCTTTCCCTTCAGTCTTTTCTAGAAGACACTTTTCAATGTGGTTTTTTTGTTGTTGTTGTTGTTGGATTTTTTTTTTTTTCATGATAGTGGTTGAATGTAGCTATTTGGATATAAACCAAGGTGTTGTTATCATTGTTTTTTTTTTTTTATTTTTCCATTTATGTCATTAGCCAACAAATTGGAACGTGTAGCTGTTGTAGTTCAGGGAAGATTATTTCCTGGGATGCAGGAGGGCCTGGGTTCAGTCCCCAGCACTGGGAGAATTGAAGTCTTGAAGTGGGGCAAGTCTAATATAATGGCTTTAGTGTGGATCCCAGAGACTAGCATGGACCTAGGGTCTGGCTTGGCCACACAGTTGGCTATAAAAATTAAGGAGGTTGCCAGGCATGGTGGCACACGCCTGTCATCCTAGTGCTCTGGAGGCTCTGGAGTTCATTTATGGAGCTCCATAAATGTTAGCTGCTCTCACTAATAATGAGACAAGCACCACTGCTATTATAGTTTTGCTTCCCACTTAGTCTGCCTGGAGTGAAGACAAACCTTTGAAATCCTTATATATTGGCAACTATCTTGTAAGTTAATAGTTCTCGATTGAGGTTTTATGGCATTCACCACCATCCTGTGTCAGTACCAGTTTGGTGATTGAGTAAACAACCTGGAAATGACAGGAATGGGTTATTGCCATTTCTGGTCTTCCATTTTGGTAATATGTGCTATACACTGAATAGCCAGTAACCAGCAGCTGAAGCTATAAATCAGGCTTGTAGCTCAACTGCGATTTATAGGCACCAAAGTGACTCTCCTTTCTTTAACACTGTTAAGACAGACAACAAATACTAGGGATGTGTTTCCTAAATCATTAAAGGAAATGTTTTCACATGCCATAAAAGGTGTTTTTTACTTTAACTTTATAAAACTTTATTATTTGTTGTTAATATTATTTATTATTGTGTCAGGACACATTTGGAGGTCAGTGGACAGCTTCATAGGGAGTCTCTTCTCTCCTTCCACTTTGGGTTCCAAGAATTGAACTCAGGTCTGAAGGCTTGCCCATCAAGCACTGAGCCATCTCACTGACGCAAAATATACCATTTACATTGAATTTTCTTTTTGTCTTTCAGGTGTAAAGGGTCAAGTGTTTGATCAGAGTGGAAATCCATTACCAAATGTAATTGTGGAAGTCCAAGACAGAAAGCATATCTGCCCATTTAGGACCAACAAACTTGGAGAGTATTATCTACTTCTCTTGCCCGGATCCTACGTGATAAATGTAAGTGTGCAAGGCCATCTATTGAGAAAATATAGAATGCACGGCACTCACCTAGGATGGCCAAAAATAAGTGGAAACCCTAACTGTGGGGACAGCAGGGCAGAAGGAAATGATAGCAGCAGAGCTGCAGAAGCAAAGGAGTGGAAGAGGTAGCAATGATAGGAACAGACCAGTGGGGGAGAAAATCATGTGTAGCCTCCAAGGGGTGGTGCACGCCTTTAATCCCAGCACTCAGGAGGCAGAAGCAGGCGGGTCTCTGGGAGTTCAAAGCCAGCCTGGTTTACAGAATGAGTTCCAGGACAGCCATGGCTACCAAGAGAAAGCCTGTCTTGAGAGGGGGAGAAAATCACATATTTTCCTAACTGGCAGATAATTCTTAATAGAAGCCAAATACTACTTTTTTTTTCCAATTTATTATGTATGTGTATATGTGCTATAGCACACATGCAGAAGTCAGGAGACGCCCTTGGGAGTGGGGTCAGTTTGGTCCTTCCAGCAAACGTTCCAGAGATTGACCAGGTTGTCTGCCTTGCTAGGCGAGTGCTTTCACCTGGTGAACCATCCCACCGGTCAAGATGGCTATTCTAATAAGCACAGGCCACCTTGTCAGTGAGAGCAGGAGGAAGCCAGGGTAAATCACGGTGCCTTGCACGTAGCCCTGCCAGGGAAGTCAGGGCAGCAAAGCAGATACTGTCCTGTGGGAATGAATGAGGGAGAGCTCTGGAGACCAGCAAAGGAGCAGCAGGAACCGTCATACAACAGGGATGCTTGGAAAGGAACCCAGAGGAAAGATGGAAGTACATGTAACTTCAGTCCTGGCGCCTGAGGGAGAACTGACACCGTTGAGGAAGGCCGAGAAGTGTCCCCAAGCACCAGCGTGGCAGGAGGCCATGAATGAAAAGCCACAAGCTTTAAATCCAGTCCGGAGAGCTCCTCCAGAAGTGGCTCTCCTGTACCAAAGAAGGTTGTCACTTCAAACTCTTCCTTGACATTCGCTAGTCGCTGCCAGACACCATCTTGGCATAGGAGCTGGTAGCCCAACCTGGACCCTGACCAAAGCCTTGGTCGAGTATACATTTCACCGAATGGAAGACAGACACCCACAGAGTCCAGCAGCCATCCACAGCCACGAGCCCAGCTGCCATTCAGTCTGCCCCACGAGATCTACTGAAGCCTGTGCCAGCCACAGCCTTGGCACTGTCGCAAGCCAATGCTGCAGTCCACAGCTTCACCACAATGCCCATTGGAAGCTTAGGCAGGTGCCCGCTGGGCCCCACAGCTCCAGGAATAGGGCTACCAGGTGGCTCCAGACCAACTGCTCACTCTCCTGGTCCTCCCAGCCACAGCCTTGGGACCACAGCTGCAGGTGCAGACAGTTTGAGCTTCTCGTAGGTATAAGGTATATATAAATATATAATATGGCACATGTGTACCACAGTCTGTATGTGAAAGGCTCATAGGCGGTACCATATGGAATGGGGCAAAGCCGAAAGCACTTACTCTTGAATCAGCAACAAGGCAAATACGGAATGAGACGAGAAAAAGAAATAATGGGTATACAAAACTGGAAAGTAAAAAGTTAATTATCTTCACAGATGTCATGACTTTATGCTTAGGAAAATCTAACTTCCATCAAAGAGCAGCTGAGAGTTATAAAGTGAGTTCCAGGAAATTACAGGGTGAAACAATCCATATGGGGGAAAAAAAAGCCAGTAGCATATATATATACGTCAGTAATAAACTTGGTGAAAAAGAAATTAAGAAAGCAATCTCATCACAACAGCTACAAAAAAAATGAGATATATAGAAATAAATTTAACTGAAAGACCCATGCAATAAAAATTGTAAGCCAGGTATGGTGGCACATGCCTCTAACCCCGTCCCTAGAGACACAGGGTTCCAGGCCAGTAGGGATACCTGTCTCGAAAGAAGAAGATTACAAACCAGCCACTAAAAGCAATTATGGAGAACAAACAAAAAGGAAAAATACCCCACTTGTCTACCAGAAGAGTCAATATCATCAGAAAGATGATCCCCAAAGTGATTTACAGATTCAGTGTGTGTAGTTCCCCTCAAAAAAAAGCAGCGACTTCACTCAAGTAGGGATAGGGGAACACTGTAAGGCATCTGTGTGAAATGATGAATTTTTTAGATAAGTCCTCAAAGGCACCAAAATAAAGATAAACAAGGAGAAAAACAAACTAAGAAGCAGGGCAAAGGAGCCAACAGCAGATTCAGGGGCAATGTCAGAACTGGGAGAAAAGATTTACAAACAACGGATCTATTAAGAGATTAGTTTCCAGAGTATTTTTTAATTTTTTTTATTTTTATTAATTACAGTTTATTCACTTCTCCATCCCCTCCCAATCCCATCCTTCCTCCTTCTTCTTTCCCTATGCCCCTCCCCCAGTCCAATGATGGGGGAGGTCCTCCTCCCCTTCCATCTAACCCTAGTCTATCAGGGCTCATCAGGACTGGCTTCTCTGTCTTCCTCTGTGGACTGGTAAGGCTGTTTCCCCCTCAGGTGGAGGTGATCCAAGAGCCAGCCCATGAGTTCATGTTAGAGACGGTCCCTATTCCTATTATTGGGGAGCCCTCTTGGACACTGAACTGCCATGGGCTACATCTGTGCAGGGGTTCTAAGTTATCTCCATGCATGGTCCTTGTTTGAAGTATCAGTCTCAGAAAAGACCCCTGTGCACAGATTTTTTGGTTCTGTTGCTCTCCTCCACAAGGAGTTTCCATAGTATTTAAGGGACTCAAAATGAAGCCTTCAATCCCAGCACTCCAGAGCCAGAGGCAGTTGGGTTTGAAGTCAACCTGGTCTACATAGTGAGTTCTAGGCTAGTGGGGGCCTGAAAACACAAAGCAATCACAATCTATCTGAAGAGTAGTCACAAGAACAAAACCAGAAAAACCCAAGTTAAAAAAAAAAAAAAAAAAAAACATTGGAGAGGCTCAGAAGGCTCTGGTTGGAGTCCCAGAACCTAGAGGGCAGCTCACAACCTACCTACCATCTGTGGCTCCAATTCTAGAAGATCTGACGCCCTCTTCTGGTCTCTGTAAATACTGCGTGCAACTGGTACACAGACACTTGAAGGCAAAACGTACTGATGAATGTTTTTAAAAAGCGGTGTGTACACTTTAGATCAGTGGCAAGGAGAATGGGAATAACTTGGGGAAAGAATCTACTTACGATCTTTGTATCCAGTAAGGATACTATAGGCTTGGTACAAAGAAAAGCGCCTTTACCTTGGCACACTGTGAAAATGACTGGCAGAATATGGCGTTGCTTCTTCCTCTGTTATCCTTTGCTTCACCAGATGCTGAGCCCGTGTCTCCGTCCTTATTTCATTTTGCAATTCTTGGCAACTGCCTTTGCAGCGACGGTCTACATGAGTAGACACTGGGCAATTCTCCGAGCAATAGCCATGCCACACCCCCATCCCCACCCCAGTCCCTAACCTTAGCACACCGTCACGCACGCACGGCTCAAAGGCTGTGTCCTGCTGGTGGAGACCCCACAAACATCTGAAATCGCTCATGCAATTGTTTCTTGTTCCTTCTCAGGTTACAGTGCCTGGACATGATCCACACCTCACAAAGCTGACTATTCCAAGGAAATCCAAGAGCTATAGCGCTCTTAAAAAGGATTTTCACCTCCCATTGCAAGGGCAGCTGGACTCCATCTTCGTATCAAATCCTTCATGCCCAATGATTCCTCTGTACAAATTTAGGCCAAGCCACTCAGCTGCAACAAAGCCTAGTTTGTTCGTATTTTTCATGACTCTTTTGCACGTATTTTTCAAATAAAGCAAGATGTGAAACTCAACGCCCACCACCGCCTGGAATCAGGGATCGGTTGCTCCAGGTTATAGCAACTCTCCTTGTGAGACTGCAGCGGGATAAACGCCACTGTTTTCCTCCCGAGGAAAGCAGAAGGTTTCCAGGTCTGGCACAGGGCAACCTGCTATGACAAAAGCGGTCTTCAGTGTGGATAAACGGGGGGTCACTGCCCAGCAAACGCTGCCCACATACACTGCATCCTGAAGTAGTCCCAGGCATTTGTAAGAAACTTGAGAAGCAAAAAAGACATCGCTACAAGAAAAAAAAAAATTATACATAGAGTCAAATGGATCAAAGCAGTGATGGACACTTCCTGTCCATCACAGCAGTGATGGACACCGCCTACTATGTACGACCTTGCCCTGAGTGCTAGCTGTAAAGAGCTACTACTGGGTTTAAGTGGTTCTCCCCAAAGGAAGACGTTTCTAGATGAGGAAGACTAAGACCATTTACTCTTGCCAATGTTCTAAGGATGGATGAGAGGAAGTGGGCAGATGATGTGTCTGATGTGTCTACAGAGCCCAACAGACGAAGGGGCTTGTCTCCCTGCTCCTGAAGCCACAGTCCTCTAAAGATGACCCCTCATGTGTAATCCTAGGCTCTTGCCTAACCTCAGAGGCATGTTCAGCTGCCCACTGGCCACACCCACCTGAATAAGACCCAAATGAGCTTCACCTCATCCTGTTGACAGTGGAGACGCCTCGCAAGGCTGTCCCTGCTTCGTGAGTCCTCACTGACCGTCTAATTCGCACAGCCAGTCAGTCACTGAAAGCTGCTGTATTGATCCTTCCCATCCTCTCCTGCCGGTTAGCGCCCCCTCCCCGCTGACCTAGCTCTTGCTCAAGGGTCCATCTTCCACACAGCACCTGAGGAGTTGGGCTTCCCAAAAGCCCTTCTGTCCCCTAAACACAACAATCTCGCAACCCCAGGTCTAGGTGTCATTCTGACTGTGCCTGACCTGTTTCCCACTCAGCAAAACTCCGATTTAAGAGTCATCTTCAACCAGGAAGCCTTGCTGTTCCCATTCTATGGAGTTCCAGGCAATCAGGTTGAAGGCCAGTCCTCCTGGATCCTTCGTCTTGATTAGAGAGTTTACAGCACGGTGGTGCCATCTGCTTCATGCTGGCCTTCTCTAGCACAGCATGAGCTCTTCCAGGCCAGCATCTGTTTATTGGGAAAGTTCATTTCTGTATCCTCTGAGCCTAGCACAAATAGGAAATAAATGAGTCTGGGAGGTGTTTCAGCAACTTGCTATAGACCCTTCCAAAACTGTAGGGATTTGGGCAATTTTGTGAATATAAGTTTTACGTTTGGTAGCATACAGCTCACTAATGTACACACACACACACACACACACACACACACACACTTTCCATGTGTACATCAAGGAAGAAAAATTCAAAGATAAATGCAAGTGAAGGAATGCACTGTAAGGCTGGTGGGAAAGGCATTTGCTAGCTGTTAACCATGCTACATGCTTCTAGACCAGAAAAAAAAAAAAAATTCTTACGATCAGTTTGAAGTAGAAATGCACCCTGTCAAAGAAATCTATCCTAGCACACTGTAAGAAGTAACAGAAAGACAGTGTGATGGCCCAAACCAGCACTCAGGAGGCAGAGACAGGTGGATCTTTGGGTTCTGACCAGCTGGGCTACACAGCGAGACCCTGTCTCAAAAGATAAGGATAAAGATCAAACAGGAAGCTCAGTGGCACCTCTGTGTGCAGGTCCCTGAGGGCTGTAAATCTTCCATGGTTAGTGAGTCACCTGCTTCTTCAGTCATAAGCCCTGCACGGCTGTGAGACATGCAGGGTAAGGCACACGGAGAAGGCTTGAGGCTCAAAAGGACACACGAGATAAATGGGCATCCCAGTGCCCTCTTTTCGTGCCAAACGTATTATTTTAATATAATAGCATTTGTAGTTTTTAACCACTTGTAAGTTTGAAAGTAGTATGAACAGCTTGATCATTTTATTTAAATAAGTATTAACTTATATCCTAGTAAGCATGTACTAATAGTTCAGAAAGTGATCTGGGTATATGACATTTAAAGTATATAGGCCTAAGCCAGGTGGCTAAGTGACTTTATCCAGCTCTTGGGAAGCTGAGGCAGGAAGATCCACACAAGTTCAAGGCCAGCCTGGGCTACATGTGAGACCCATCTTAAAAAAAAAAATAAAAGCAATAAAGAACACAAGAGCACCCATCAGCTGGATGTTCTCAGTTCCGACTTACCCCTTTCCCGGGTGGTTTTTAAAGGAAATGAGCTGTTTTCTGAATTGGCTCATGGGCCTAACACAAAACTTGTTACTGAAATAACTTGCACGTGGATGCGTCTTACTGGAGACCGTCCCAGGGCTTAGCACACACTGAGAAAGTGCTCTGCCTTTGAGCCACAGCTACTTTCAGTTTTGACACAGGGTCTCACTAAACTGTATATGTAGGCCAGTCTTGGAGCTCATCATAATCCAGGCTGGCTTGGAATCTGCCTGCATTTGCTTCCAGAGTAGCTATGCAGGCCTGGACCACTGTGTCTATCTTAAGGTAACACCACAAAAATTAGAAATCTTTATCAAACCCAATGTAAAATCACTTAAACGAGAGGGTGTAGCTCGGTGATAGCGTGCTTAGCATACACAAAGACTTGTGTTCAGTCTCCACTAACTCCCCCCAACCCCAACACAAAACACAACCATGAAATTATTCTATGGTCCATGTCCTCAAGACTTAACACCTGTCCCTGATGCCTGCTAACCTGGTGGATAGGCTTTGACGGTCTAAATCCTGCAGGAGTAGAATGAATACTTGTGGTCCTGACTGTTGGACACATGGTAGATGCCATTTTTGATGCTCCTCCAGGTAGAGAAAGTACAACTGCCATTTGGGTGACACAGTCAACTATTTTCAAGACCGTACACCTTATTAAAGGGGACCTGAAAATGAAACACCGGCTAGCAAGATTCATGTCATTTTCAAGGAGACTTGCACAAAATGACATAGCTTACCTGTGTGCCTGTTTGAACTGAGATGGGTAAAAGCCCAATGCTAGGAAGGCAGAGGCAGGGGGATCTCTCAGTTTCAAGGCCAGCCTGATCATACCGAGTTCTGGGACAGTCAAAGCTCCATAATAGAGACCCTGTCTCAAAGAACCAAGATACATAAACAGTGGGGGATGTTTAGAAAAACGCTAAGTCACTGCAGGTCCAGGCAGCTTTGACTTTGGTGCTTTCCTTCCCATTTCATCTGCTGCACAGGTCAGAAATGTTTAGCCTCCTCTATTCACTTCTCAAAGTCTTTAAAGAACCAAATTTCTACTTGTAATTTGTCTCTAAAAATGGTGTGTGCTGCAGGGAATGGTGGCACGTGGGAGGCAGAAGCAGGCAAATCTCTCATTTGCCAGCCTGGTCTACAGAGTGAGTTCCAGGACAGCCAAGATGACATAGAGAAACAATGTCTCAAACAAACAAACAAATTTCTCAGTCTGACTGTAACATTTGCTTGGGGCCATGACTACCTCTGGGCTTATTAAATTTACATTTTCTGATTACCAATAAAGGACATTCATATAGTGAATGCTGTCTCCTTCCATTTTGTTTGTACACCTATCAAAAACAAGCTAGAAGACTGCCATCAAATATACTCTAGGAGAGATCAATGTTTCAACAGTCTTTCCAAATCCCAGATGGTCTTTCCAGGACAGTATAAGCTATTTATGACATTAGTTAATTTGAATTATGTGGTTGTGTATTCCATGGGCAAGATGATAGACAAGGGTGTCTTCCAGGAAGAAGTGCTTGCTGAACCTGCCTGAGGCCTGGATTTGGTCTAAGAACAAAATACTCTGGAAGATTCACATAACCTAGTAAAGGGCCAGGTGTTGTTGTAAATAAATGAGTGTTTGGAGCTATATAATGTTATTATTAGCCCCAAGGTTAACTCGGCAGTACTATTTAACCTGCTTTTACAAATAATAAGATACAGACAACTGCTAGATTTTATAATTGCCTCATTTACCTTGGGCCAGGCAGATGTTTCACCTATGCTCGCTCAATAACCTCACCATCCATCTCCCAGCCCCCATCCAGTGCCGTCCACGCTCTATCCATAATCCCATAGTACTTGCTTATATTTTTCATCTGGGCCTTTTCACACCATTATTGGAGTCCTTCCGTTGGGCCCACGTTTTTTTCTCCACACTAACCCATTGTGTCGCCCTCCTTCCTCCTCTTTTCCCCTGTCTCCCTGTGATTCTCCTGTCCTCTCCAAGCCGGGGGAACCTTAGCTACTCATACCCCATTCTGCCTTGCCCAGTTATTGGCCGTTTAATCAACCAATTAGATACGTCTTAAGCAGGCTTACAAAACAAGAATAGGTGTAACCAGATCTTGAGGACAAGTGACACGCATCACACCAACCTCGAACAGCCGGGTATGGTGGTGCACATAATCCCAGCACTAAGGGAGGCAGAGGCAGGTGGATCTCTGTGAGTTCAAGGCCAGCATGGTCTACAAAGTGAATCCAGGCCAAAGTTGAGTACAAAAAAAAAAAAAAAAAAAGAACCTGAGAAATCACAGAAAAAAATGACTTCCCAAGCATACCCAGCCACAGAACCATTTAAGAAGTAACCTAGTACATTCTTAGATTCCTAAACACATTTTGGGAAATCTTGAGTACAAGTTTCATTGGCTCCCAAGTCCTTTTGTTGAAACACATGGCATAGTTGTAAACAAAAGAATTTGCTCCCAAAAGGAGCTGGGACACTTAGGGGTTGTCACTGCATTAAAAAAAAAAAAAAAAAAAAATCTTGCCAGTGTGCCTTTTAGTCAAGGACAGGTTAGTCTGAATGTACATCTATCCTCCAAAACTGCTACAAGTGGGTTTTCTACTTACGTAATTGGGTATTCTGTCTGTATGTCTGTGTACCACTAGTGTGTCTGGTGCCCAAAGAGGCCAGAAAAGGGCATTTGAGTCCCAGGAACCACAGTTAGAAGTTATAAGCCACCATTATGTGCTGGGAACTAACCCTGTCTTCACCCCTAAAGAAAAAGTGACTACACAATACTATCTACTTACATGCAAATTTAGCCAGGGGTGGTGGCACACACCTGTAATCCCAGCACTCAGGGAGGCTGAAGCAAGAGGATCTCTGTGAGTTCAAGGCCAGCCTGATCTAAAAATGGAGCCCAGGACAGCCAAGTCTACACAGACAACCCCTGACTAGAAAATAAAAACATGCATATTTAATTAGCATCTGTATGATGTGTGTTAGCTTTAGGGAATGTCTCAGCCGTCCACCTTGCTGCAGCAGTTTCTGCAAGTTTCCAGGGGACTGTCCCCTCTGCTGGGCTAGATATAACTGCCACTGCTTCCAGCTTTCTTCATGGTACCTGGGGACAGAATCACCTGCCACCAGGCTTACGGCCAACACTTTTACCAGGCCATCTATCTCAGCCACCTGAATACCTCCATTTTAAGTTGCAAACATTTCTCCATTTTAAAAAATTCATTGCAATTTAGGAAATGTGTACTAGGAGACCCTTAGGCATAAGTTCCACGGCATGTTTTGCCTACATGTATTTAAATTTGTACCTATTGGAGTGAGCTGATGGCTATACACCACCAGCCCAAGAATGGTTAAAATTCACATGCTAGCATTAACAAGCAGCTCTATAAGCCCTCCTCACAGTCGTGAAATGGATAGTTGTAACATTTTCATGGTACAGTTTGCATGCACAATGCACACAATACAGTGTGTGTGTGTAGGGCAGAGGGCAATCAAATCCCGTAATTAAACAGTCCCTGAGACTTAGCAGCACGGGTCTACCTGCTGAGCCAGACTGGAACTACAATTTTAAAATCAGACATGAGGGAACGAAAGAAGGGGAAAAAAAAAAAAGGAAGGTAGAAACTTGTTTCAGGACAACTGTTTCCTCCTCTCATTTCTTTCATGAATGTGAAAGGACTGAACTCTCTCCAAAGCTTAAACCCCACCCTCCAAAATTTCTGTATGTTGCTTTTATAATAGGAAAAAAAGGCAAGTCATTAACTCCTATCAAAATGAAAGTCTTAACTGACCAAGGCCTGTGTCCATTAAGAAAGCACTGTACTTTGAATGCAGTGTTTTTTAAAATGAAACTTCTTTGCTGCTGGCCAGGAACCACCTCTTGAACTATTTTCATAGCAATTAAGAGTCTACTGTTAATGGGTGCCGGAGCTCAGCCCTCCCAAAATGCTGCTTCTAAGTCACACTTCCATGCACAATTCTGGAAACCCATTTATTAAAAAAAAAAAAAAGTCAGCCAGGTGGAGGTGGTACACACTTTTAATCCCAGCACTCAGGAGGCAGAGGCAAGTGATCTAAGGACCCAGTTTAAATTCCCAGCACCCACATGGCAGCTCACACCTTTTTCTAACTCCAGTTCCAGGGGATCTGATGCCTTCATATAGACATACATGCAGCAAAAACACCAATAAACATAAAAATAGCCAGCTGCGGTGGCGTGTGCCTGTAATCCCAGCACTCTGGGAAGCAGAGGCAGGTGGATCTGCCTCTGTGAGTTTGAGGCCAGCCTGGTCTACAAATTGAGTCCAGGACAGCCAAGGCTACACAGAGAAACCCTGTCTCAGGAACACATAGGAAGATAGTAGAGACCATGTCTCAAAAAAAAAAACAAAATGTAAGATACTACATTTGAAAGTTCTTTAAATATTTAATAAACCATTTATTTGCAAATAAATAATGTATACCGCACCTAAACATTTAGAAACTAACATTCCACAAGGATATAACATCAAAATTGTAAATCAGAAAGAAATGCAACTTCACTGAGTTGGGATGCCAAAGCTGAGGTACTGACTGCTCCTGGCTGTTGTCCTACTCTAATGCTTACTCATGTGGGAGCAACGGCTTTTTTGTTGTTGTTGTTTTGTTTTTGAACAATACAAAACTATCCTTCAGTCACACTCAACTTACAGTCCAGATGACTTTATTTTCTATACTTGAACACGTAAAAACTTTTAAGATCCTTCAAAGGGGAAGATTATTATGAATCACGAGGTTAATCTACATGGATGGAGAAGTCATTTTAAAATACTATGCATGTTTTAAAATAAGTTCTCTTTTTCCATGTTCTGAATTAGTCTTTCTGAATGGACTGGTTACTAACCTAGCCTAAGTACAGGCCTAAAACTTAGGCAACCATCAAGATCCATGGACCTGAACCCAAAAAGGTGCTTCTAAGGCCTTTCAACCTGGGAGACACAGTACACCAATGACCCCACACTCTGAATACCAAGAAGCCGGAAATAAGGTGTGTGTTTTTACTTACATGTTAACAGATATTAACTCATACCTTTAAAAAAAAAAAAGAGTGGAGATCATATGGAGATCAGAGAACAACTCTGTATAACTAGAACCCTCCTTTGGGAGTTCCACAGATCAAGCTCACATTGTCAGGCTTACAAAGCAAGTTTCAGGGATCAAGCTCAGGTGCCAGGCTTACACAGCGAGTGCCTGTACCTGCTAAACCATCCATCTCTCCAACCCACAACTCACAACTGCTAGAGAACTAAGCCCTTTCAATAACTTAAATAGCCAGTCAGTCATAGCCTTTAATTCCTTTCATGAAAGCTACTAAATAAATAAAATGCTCTTATGTGAACAGAGAAAAATAAACTATCAAATACTTCTTATGTGGTCAGTTCTCAGGAGGGTCCATTACCATTTGCAGATGAGGAAGAGGACTCACTTCACTGAATGTAGTTCACTTCCAACTGTCCTTCCAAGTAGAGAGTATTAAAATAAGGATGAAAAAGGAGCTACACAGCCAATGCAAATTAATTAAAACCCAAATGTAAAATATATAGCCAAGAGAAAATTTCCTAAAACAAAATGAAACATTCAATATTCTTACTTTCAAGGATAAATTTATACAGTGAATTTTACGTAGACTAAGATACTTTTCTGCCTTTATTGGATACAATTAAAAATAAAACCCATGTTGTCTAACTTTGGAAGTTATATAGTTATGAATTCTATTTTTATGGCCAGGTCAGCTAGCTGAAATAAGTTAGCACAATCATCTGAATTGGCTGTCTGCATACTGGGCAGGGCTTATTCCTTTTTTTAAGCTTCTTTGCACATGTGAAACATGACATGAGATGTCCAGTTTTGCCATGAACAATACAGCCATTTTTAGGCCGCCCTTGACAAATCACACACGGTTCAACAGCACTGAGAGAGAAGCTAGACTCCATACTTTCTTCTTTGACTTGTGTTCTTTCCTTCAACTCTTTGACATCTTCTTGGGGGCTATAAACAATGCTACTGGAAGTTGATGGCTGGGAATAGTCCTCACTCTCTTGTGACTGGGAGGCCCACGTGACTTTATCATCACTTTCCTCAGGGCATGAATCTTTAGACTCATTCACTGTACTTTTCCTGCCATCTGGCACATCTAAGGCTTCTTCTGCCTGAGCTGAGTTTTCCAGTTTGGCTTTTTCAGAGTCTTCCCCTTTATCTTTCCCTTTATCTTCTGGAAGCCAATTCTCACGAAGGGTCCAACATCTGTTGC